TAGCACACTGGTGCACACTGTAGCACATTGGTGCACACTGTAGCACATTGGTGCAAATGGTAGGATTTCCTCCATATTAAAGCAGAACAATTGCATTGTGCTTATTTATACATGTGCACAGATACATATGTGAGACTTATATATTTATGTGACTATATACAAACAGATTTTTATATATTGATATTTCCTTGTCAATCTAATTGGTATTTGTAGTTTTGCTATGAATTTGGCCAAGAATCAGGCCAGTCTTTGCCTACATGCTTTTGTATAGCATTCAACACATACATAAAGTGACAGGACCTCCCTTTGCTTTTAGAGACTCACTGGCAATGAGTCCTTTGCTTTGCCCTATTGGAACTTTGCAACTGGGAAGGATGAGTGTGATGTGTGCACAGATGAACTCTTTGGAGCAGCAAGACAAGATGACCCAACCTTGATTAGTCAGAACTCAAGATTCTCTACCTGGGAGATTGTGTGTGACAGGTAATGCAATGTAACTCCCGACACTGCTTTCCCTTAGTTCTGGGTGATAGATACTATGTTTCTCTATATTTTTTTTCCTGTGGAACATGGAGTTATGTTTACATGTTTCTGGAGGCAGTTTTCCTGTGGGAAGCAGGAATTTAAACGTTAAACCTCTGAAATTAAAAAGTAGTTATATGGAAATCCTATTTTTGAGTTGAGTGTACTTGGGTATCATTTTGAGACCAGGAATACCATCTCACAACCCGGAGTGGTTCTAGCATTTGGCCACCATTTACTGAGCAGCAAGTCAATCCTTGGTGATGCAGTGCTGCTGGGAACACAAGAACGAATAAGATCTGCGTTTACAGAGATCAATTTGTGGTAAATAAATTACCAAGCAGTCTGAGAAGTTCTATAATAGTTGTGTGTGTGAAGCCAAGAAAGGAGTCAGGACAAGTCCTCAAGGGCGTGGAGCTGTTGGTTCTGAGACAGAAAGAAGTACATACAGACTCTGGCTTGATGTGGGGGAAGGCAGGGAGGTATGGATAGATGGCAGGTCCTAGGTGTGGGAGCATGATGCACCACTCTAGAGAAACCTCTGGAAGGAAGGTGGTGGATCTGGGTCACTGGCTGAGGAGTTGTCTGGGACACAAGCACAGGCCTTGGATGTGGGAGGCTCAACAGTAGCTGTCAATCCCTGAAGGCCACATGACGAAATAAATGACCCAGAGTCCTGGAAGAATTCTCCCTTCAAAGTGTCCTGGGACTTATTTCTCTGTATAGGTGCAGTTCAGTAATCCCATCTGGCCTTTGGAGGTCTATTCCAGGATTGCCAGGAGTACCCGACGCCTCAGATAGCACCAAAGGATATGCACTCTGACTTTTCCTACTTAGACAAAATTTAATTTATGAATTAGGCACAGGAAGAGATCAACAACAATAACTAATAATAAAATGGAACAATTATAACAGTGTTCTGAAAAAGACCTATGTAAGCACAGTCTCTCTTCTTTCAAATGCTTCAGTCTTTCAGCACACTGCCGGAATGTTTTAGACCAGTTGACTGCAGGGAACTAATCACGGAAAACAAAATTGTGGATGAGGGGAAACAATTGTGCCTCAGAAAAGGATTCCCTAAGAGGTTTCTCTGCCTTCCGTCATTTATTTTTTTTCTCTCCAAATTCCCATGTTTTAAGTTGTGCTCTGCTCTCTTGTTCCATATCACTCAGGGACAACAGGGCCTGACTCCCTGGCCAGCACTGGCTCTAGGCACATAATTGCTCTGAGGGGCCTGCCCTGAGGTGGATGTGTGTCGGGGGGACCTGCCCTGAGGTGGATGTGTGTGTGGGGGACCTGCCCTGA